AAGATCTCTGAGTACAATTTCCCCCAAAAAGTCATACAAAATCCTGTCTCTGTGCGTGTGTGTGTGCGTGCGTGCGTGTGTGTGTGTGTGTGTGTGTGTGTGTGTGTGTGTGTGTGTTAGAAGTACAGTAGGATTCAAGAGATATTTTGGCAACTTTCCCAACATGTATGTTATGGCTTTACATAAAAATCCCCTCTTAGCAACAGTCAGTTGTTAAATACATAATGAACCTTTTGTATGCACCCTAATAGCTAGATTTTATCCACAGAATCCGCTGAACTATAATTACTGGAACCGCCATCTGAAACCTGAGATCTTAGGCATGACTTGATAACCAGAGCTTCTGATTTGATGATGGCTTTTCTGAAGCTCAATCTGGTTTCTTTTGGTGTTTTCCGTTTTGCTCCCAAACCACCGAGGTCATAGAAACATGCTGGGATCTGTGTTTGTGTTTCCAGAGTATATACAAAAGTGTCTGGTAGAAAAACTGTAGTTAAGAGCCTTTTTTTTTAACATTGCTAGTAACCCATTTTGTGTTGTTGCTTTGTATTTACTAGTTTAAACATATTCTTCTATGTTAAAATAACATTGATACAACCAACTTTCTGACACATTTTTTAAACACAGGTCATAGAGTGCCGCAGTGACGCATCCTAAAACCCGGAAGTATACGCTTCTTCCGGTTCCCTCGACAAAAAAGCAATGCAATTTCTCCATAGGATTTTAGAAAATAGCTCGAAATAAGGACGATATGATCTCGAATCATAAATCTATCGATCATAAATCTATCGATTAGATTCATGATTAGAAAATGATAAAAGTAGGGTAGACATGTGGGGATTATCCGACTGAACAAAACGGGATCCGTCTCTTAAATGTGTTTCAACCAAAGACCATATTTCGAGCTATTTTCTCTGAGAAAAATAAGATTTGATCTTGTGTCTTTTTAAGACAAAAAATAATGGTTTCTAGCTTTTGCTCTGTCAGAAAAAGTGGTTTCTAAATGAAATGTCTGAGCAGAAGTAAACATATTTTGAATGTGTATTGCAGCTCCCTGATCCTAATTGGACACTTAATTTGTGTTTTATCTTAAGGCAGGTTTGCGCTGAAGTAGTTGACAGCTGTTTATGAGAGAAGTATGTTGTCTGTTAAATCTGACTGATTAGTGCATTTGATGTCAAACAGTTCTCACTTACACTTACTCTTCATACAAATGTGTGTTTGTTTATTCCTGTAGTTATAGTTACATGTAAACTCAACCAGCAATCCTCAAATACTGGATATATATTTATACTCTCATATTTTCTTCGTCCCTGGGCTCGGGTAAAATATACACACCGCTTTATACTATAAATGAGAAAAGAATCAGCAGATTCATTATGAATGAAAAATATATATTATAATCATAGTTACCATAATAGAAACACCTCAGTTCTGTGTAACAATTAAACAGCAACACAAACAACACATCTCTAAAACAATTTCACCAAACATGAACAATATAACTTTTGTATAGTAGACATGGCATTAGTTTGTGTACCTGATTAATTCTACTCTTACTCTATGCAAGGAAATGGTCAAAGTAATCATTAGAAATGGCAATTTTGGGTACATTTTAAGGTTTTTTTCTCTTTTTGTGAAGTTGCTGCTGGCTTTATCTTAAAAATAACTTAATTATTAGATAGCTTGAATATGTAGTTAATCTAGAAACAAGGGATAGCTACTTTGGCCACATAGCCACCGTAGCTTGTCCTACAAAGAACTAGAGTTGACTAGCAAAAACAAATAAAAGAAAGAAAATCATTTTATTTCTGTCCGACTTAATGCAAATCAGGGCAAAGCTTAAACACGTTAAGTTTAGACGTCATGTAACATCCAAAACATATCAGATTTCTTTTTATGTCTACTTTAACTACTATATCAAAAGCATCTGTGTATCCTCCACCTGTCAGACAGATTTTGAAAACAGCTACAAAACATTTTGGCCTTGCATGCATTATAATTTGCTGTTCGAGGTTAGTGTGATTGCTTATTTTGCCTATTTTTAGTGCACTATTGTTTTATTGTTCGACACATCCTGCTCCCTCTTCTGCCTCCCCTTGAGTATCATCAAAGTTTCATCCAGCCAAAAAAACTGCCCTCGGTTGGATAGCTTTATTTTGAACACATATCAGGTTAGTGAGTCGAGTCAGGTACTTTCCACTGTCTGTCATTTAAGATCAAGGGTAGATGCTGAGAAAAGAGGAAGTGCTTTTAAAGGTGACAGACAACACAAGGACGGTGTAAATGCAGGAGGCAATGTGTGTGTGTGCTAATTGACTACTTGTATGTGTCTTAATCTTTCAATTCTGTCCATTCAACTAAAGCTGCATTAAGCAATACCTTCTATAGTGAGACTGAATCGACTTTCTGTATCGTGCAGCGTGCAGACTCATCAAAGTAATACTTTTAGTTCACAGGCCTAAGTGAAACCTGACAAATGCATGAACTCTCACTACAGGAAGTGAACAATTGACTCACACAAAAGCCAGTTGTACACTTCCTGTTCAGCGTAAAATGGCGGAAAGGTGAAGTGGCTGAAGAAACGTCGCGCATTTAGAAAATCCAATGACATCGAGATATTTCTCTCAGGAGCTGAATTGAATTTACATTCAACATGTGGCCAAAAAGATGACTGCGAGTCCAGATTCCTCTGTTTCTGCTGAATGTGTAAGTAGTCAGTTGTTTGCTTAAAAGTTAGCTAAGAGTCAGTCTTTATGCCTCGTACTGTAATGGTAATTCATTGCTTAATGCAGCTTTAAGTTCATTTAGAGGTTTAACCAATTCATATTAAGACCGTGTGTTCTCATCAAAGATATTCAAACTGGTGCACTCATTTTTAATTAATGATAAATAAACATTCATCTTGGTAAATCCATACCGTTATTTTTGTTTTGTGTGCACAGTTTTTAAACCATGTGAGCTAATTTATTATTTATGTGTCGATAATGTATATATTTTCAAAGCTACTGGTTGTTTTTTACATAGCAAGTTTACACTGATTTCAACAACTTGACTTAAATTGTTGAATTTAGTTGCTTACTGCTTTTATTAATTTTGTTCGAATGTTTTGTGTATTTTATGTATCCTGCAATTATTAAGATTTATGGATGAAATGCTATAAACAGAAATGTCTTTTTTATCTTTCCAATCAACTCACATCACTTTTCTTTTTCAAACTTTTGTCCCAACATTACATGACATGTCACTTGATAGACGCTTTCACCCAAAGTGACTTACATACTCAATACTGTGGGCAATCCCCACAGGAGCAATTTGAGGTGAAGTGTCTCAGGGACACAACGACATGCTGACTGCAGTGGGGTTTGAACCTGTGCCCCGCTGATCTGAACACCAACGCACTATTCCACTGCGCCACACGCCTCCCAACATCTTTTCACACTTGCAGCTTCTCCGCTATTTATTAGATCATGTATACATTTTTACACCGTTAAAACACACGTTAAGGAGACCTATCGTATCTACTGCAATCGCTGTAAAAAAGTGCAGAGGTGTTCGTTAAAAACACACAGCTAAAGGTCTGCAGTGTCAACTATATGCTAAATGGACTGTACTTATATAGCGCTTTATCCAGTCTTTAAGACCCCTCAAAGCGCTTTACATACTACATGTCATTCACCCATTCATACAGAGCAGTGTACCTTACTCTATAGGACCTAACATTTACTCACGTGATCAGGAGCAACTCAGGGTTAAGTATCTTGCCCAAGGATACATCGACATGTTGGCTGCACGGGCTGGGATCGAACCCACAAGCTTCTGGTTGAAAGACGACCGCACTCCCTCTCAGCCACAGTCGCCCCAAATATGCAGACTTTAGACATTAAAACACACCTGTATTTAAGAGGTGTACCCTGCTTTCATTATATTGGTTGATTCAGTAGCAAACATGGATATTTGCAACTATTGAACAAAAGGGCAAACGTCGGTACAAAATATACAGTTGTATCCAGTGCTGTGTTTTGGCACTAAAAACATCTGCATATGTATCTAAATGTTGCGCCTGTTTAACAACACCGTGTTAAAAGCGTGTGTTGGTGTCGTTAAGTTTATCCCGAGGCTCTTTTCGCACCTTTTGTGTTCTCTGCCTTTTTACAGGCCTTCTCACCTGCTCATTACAGCCTTTGTGGGCTTGTTAGCGCAGCTACCGTTAGCGCAGCCTTTGAGCTTGACTTTCCCCCGGCTCTGCGCTTTCTATTACATCAATAAAATCTGTCATCGACACACAGAAGAAAATCATGCTCGTCTTTCAGAGCGCACACACGATCAGAGTTTAGCATCATGAAAGCTAGTGAGCTAATGGATAAACCATTGAATTAGAGACAGGAGATTGTTAGAGTGCATAATCAAACAAACCGCGGCGCGTAATTACAACATTTCTGTTTGAAAAGTATGACATCTTAAAAGCTTTTTTAGATTTTCAAAGATTATTATTTCTAAGATGAATGAACTTTATATTTAATTTCAGGCTAATTTAAGAGTTTCTCCCACATGAATCATTAGCCCTGATAACTACACTCCCCATCTCATCTCATAAGAGTGTTTGTGTGTGTGTTAATGGGAGCTGCTGGGCGTACCTGCTCTGCGTTGTACTAACAAGGGCAGACTATTAAGTATGCGCTTGTACTGCAGCAGCTCTTTGATTCGGTGTGTTTGCACGAGTTTTATGTGTGTGTAAGGCCTGTAAATGTGTGTGTGTACGGTTATTATTCCTTTGATGAGTCCAGACGAGGGCCAGCAGCAGTTTTCTCAGACCTAGACTGTGCTCCGTCTGTTTCCCAGGAGATGGCGACCTCTGACCCCTGTGCAAACGCACCCCCCACCCCGCCTGAGGACTCTGCGCCCTCCCCCTCGCCTCGCAAGAAGCGCGGGCGTCGGAAACTAGAGCAAACCGGGAAGAATAAGGGTATAGATTTAATACAAAGTCATATCATTCCTAAAATAATATGGCTTTGCCCGTTTATGCAGTCATCAAGATGTCCATTTTTTTACACAACAGCTAAGGATATGAAAAGTTACAAACATGAAGTGTCTTCTTTATACGAAGTAATGTCTTCAAGAGGACTTTACGTGACATTGTAATAGTGCAAATAACTTCCAGATTGCAGTGTTTGAGGGCATTTTCGACTTTAAATATGGATGCTGGGGCAAAGTGATGAAAACCATGACTCCTCATTAAACCTCTTGTTAAATCTGTACAAATGGGCCATTTCCTGTATAGTTCCTCCTCCTGCAGACGAGCCAGATGACAGAAACTGCGACTCCCCCGGAGAGGTAAGAAAACGATTTTGCTAACGAAAAAAAAAGATTATTATATTATAGTACAAGCTGAATTAAAAGAATGCATATAACAAGCGTTTTGTGTGTGTGTGTGTGTGTGCGTGTGTGTGTGTGCAGGTTGAGGCTGGCAGGCTGCGGAGGAGGCCGGTCCCCAGAGTGACTTTCCAGGCTGGAGATCCGTACTACATCAGCAGGAGACAGAAAGAAGAATTGCTGAGCCGCTGGAAGATGGAGGTGGGAAAGAAACATGTCTCTGTCAATTAGTACGACAGGAACAAGGAGGCTTTTTTTGTTCCTGGAAGCCAAATAAGAATGAAACGCCTCAAGTTAACACCTAAATCATAATAAACTGGGCTTGATTGAAAAGGATGATGGAGGCTACATGTTAATATATTTGTTTACCTCACTGACTAGCTTCTCAGTTGGATCCATAGCTGCATATTGTTAAACATTCAAAATGCAGTATAGGTCAAATAACAGGGATTTACAACAGATGCTTAGTATTGGGTGATATCTTTAAAAATGTGTTTTTTTGTGTTAAATGTTCTTTTTACTCCAATAAAAAGAAAGAGGGGATCATACAAATTAATTCCTGGAGATGTTTTGTACTATTTATACACTTATGTATACTATCTAATGTAATTGATATTGCAATACACTACTGTGCTGCAACATGTTAACATGGAAACTGAATGTGTTTGAGTTCATATCTGTAGATGTAGAAGTGAAACGAGTGAGAGAGGCAGGATGTGTGTGTGGTCATGAGAGAAAAAGTCATTCAGGTTGATTGACAGGCAGTGCTGGCTAGAACACATTGATATGAAGGAGTGTGTGAAGTTATGAGTGTGTGAGAGGAAGAGACACTTCAGTCCCCTCTTTGTTTTGTTTGAACTTGTCCTGTTTCAATGTGTGTTGGATGGACATAAACATTATCTTAATGAACAAAAATGCAGTTTAGTTATCACTATAGTGTCCGGATTAGTAAACCCATTACTTCTCAGCCTTGAGTTTATTAAAAATGGACAGTATACTTGTATTTTTCTTTGATTCATCATCAACAACAGCTTCTCACAAGTTATGAGGGCTTATTGAAGATAATGGTTAAAAAAACACGAATCTTTCAAACACAATAAGGTATAAAGTACAGTTTATAGATTCCATATTACCTGAAATAGGTTTAAAAAGGAAAATGATGTACTGAGAATGATTGTAAAGATATGTGTGTGTGTGTGTGTGTGTGTGTGTGTGTGTGTGTGTGTGTGTGTGTGTGTGTGTGTGTGTGTGTGTGTGTGTGTGTGTGAATTCAGTGACAGAGGTTAACCAGCTCCAGGTTTGTGCCTGAGTGTGTGTGTTTGCTCCGTCAGTTGAATTGCAGCCAGCTGTTAACATCAGCATCCCATCTCTCCGCCGCCTGAAGCAAATCTGCTCGCCTCTGTAAAGCCTTCTCCAATTTTGGGATTTAAAAAAAGATCTGGAATCTTTGCACTTCAGGTCTTAAGTTACAGCCAAGAATATATACTGGGGAGTACTGAGGGTGCAGTGGGTATATTAGGGGGGTCTTTTATTTCTCCCTCACAAAGAAAAACATTGACTTAACCTAATTTTGTGCTGATTTAATTTAGCAAGTCACACGCTACACACACACACACACACGCTGCACACACGCTGCACACACACTCATCTGTGACCTTGTTTTCACCTCTAACCACACGGCGTAAAGTTCAGAACCGCAGTGTTAGTCTCTGAAAAAAATCTCTGAATGTTTCTTACATTAGATCTGATCAATGACAAACCAAAGAATCACTAGCTACGGACCCTTTAACAAAAAATAGTGTTTTTCACCAAAATACATATTTTGTATTCTTGTTAAAGGGGCTCTATTAACTTATATGGGTTTTCCATTTCCTGTTATATAGGTTTTTGTGCACGTAAATGTCTGCAAAGACTAAAATCCCCTCTTCCTGAAATGCCTCACCATTGTTACATAGTGACATCACTATGTAACACTGACGTTTCTATTTGCTAACGCTCCAACACATTGTACGTGTACAGTTAAGGGGCGGGACATGTCTAAGTGGTTGACCAATCACAACAGAGCTGACCAATCAGAGCAGACTGGGCTCTGGTTTCAGACAGAGGGTGAAAAGAGGTGCTGCAGCACAGGCAGTATGAGAACAATGAAGAGCTTTTTGAACATTAAAGCATGGAGACATGTCGCTGTAGAGACACTACATACAAATATGAACCTGGAAATTAGCATTATTTCATTTTAAAGTATCACGGTTATCCTTCAATACCAATATACACTCAGTCATCTTTAGTTTCCTCTTCTTTCTGTTACTCTAAACTATCTCACGGGACAGTAGTGTGTACCTCTTTGTATGTGTGTGTATGTGAGGTCTTGACCCTAACACATCCTATCGCCTTGTCAACTCTGAGGCTTACCTAACCTTTGACCTCAGTGCACGTACACACCCCTTTTACACACACATGTAAACATTAGCCTGGATTTGTGTGTGTGTCATCATCACCCTTAAACCCCCGAGGCTGTGTGTGTGTGTGTGTGTGTGTGTGTGTGTGTGTGTGTGTGTGTGTGTGTGTGTGTGTGTGTGTGTGTGTGTGTGTTGAAGCTCACCTAAACATCTGTTAGGTGAAGGAGCCAGTGAATCACACACTTCACTGCTGTGGCCAACCAGCAGAGAGGGAGAGGGTGAAGAAAGCTTGAGGGCGAGTTTAGTGGAGGACACACACACACACACACACACACACACACACACACACACACACACACACACACACACACACACACACACACAGAGGAAGAGTAGGAGGATGTGAGAGAAAGAGAGACAGACGAAAGAAAATGACGGAGAGAAAGAGAGCTAGGGAGGAAGGGATGCAGAGCTACCATGTCCGGCCTGTAAGTTTATTTTTCTATTTTATGTGAAGCATAGAATGAAATGGAGTGTGTTTGAGGTGATGTTGTTTTTTAAAAGAGGAAGTATTGCAATATGTTTCTACTATCAAGAATTTATTTTCATGGCAAGGTTGTTATATGTCTGGTGTTAAATTACGTTTTTTCTTGTTTTGTGGGGGCATCATGCCAAGTGCTTAAACAAATGGGAGGTATCAGTTGTGAAACATCTGACAAAAAGTATAATTGGACTGAACCGAGGTTACATTTGCTTACTTTCTGTTTGTTTGTTTGTTTGTTTGGTGGAAGATTGTAGCTCAGATAAAAGAAGTGAAAAGTGTCTCCCACTTTTCCACTGGCACCAAAGACGTGCAATTGAATCCATCTAACACGGCTGTGACAAAATGCCATGCTCAAATATATCAGCTAATAACTCAGGACGTCTGAAGGCTGAATTCACAATTGTTTTATTTCAAATTTCATTGGATGTAACAATGTACAGCAAACACAGTGTAGGTGGGCTCCAAGCTTTTTGCCTCGTGACAAATCAAAACAACTTCCACTTGTGACCCCTCTTCATCAATGCATTCAGTGTGTTTACCAGCTGTGACTGCTTCAACAGAAGATCACTTAAGAGCCCCACAAATTAAAAATCTTCAGTTATTTGCCTGAAAAATAATTATAGAGGGAATTCATCAATGCATGTATTTCCATAGTTCTAGCAGTCTGTGAAAGCTCAACACCAAACAACTTAATTATTAAGCTGCATTGTTTGCATTAGGACAAGAAGCCATTTTTGTATTTTGTCTTTTTTGCTTGTGTGTGTTTCAATTAGCTTAATCACTAAAAAAGCGATCGAAGCGGTGTTAACAATTGTAAAACATCACCAAGCCCCTTATTTATTTTGCTGCAGGGTTAACATCCGAGTAAGTATTGATCTTACGTTATTTTCTGTCGGTTCAAGAAAAAGGTTTCCAAATATGTTAATAAATGTAAACAATAATTGTTACAGCAGTGTTAACATCAGGCTTGGTTTTGTTCTTAAAAAAGACACATGTTCACATCACATTATGTAATTGCCAGTTTGAAATACTCCCAACTGAGAGGCATACAATGGCTTACTGTTTACGATTAGAAATGACACCAAATCATTACACAAAATTCAGGCTTAACATGTTCGTCTTGTTCTTAAACAAATCCTCAGAGGGATGTTGCTCGGTCCATTTAATTATAAAAGATCCCCAGAGAGCGTTATGGAAATCCACTGATTGTATTCATAATGAATGAGTAGTAACTTGTAGTCTATTGAAAAAGAGAGAGGGTCTTAACTGCTTTGTGTGTGTGTGTGTGTGTGTGTGTGTGTGTGTGTGTGTGTGTGTACATCGTCTTTTATACTGCAAAGCCGAAGTCAGTGAAGCTCTACA